AGTCAAAACTTTTCTTTTAAGTAACTTATTTTAGCTTATAATAACTTTCTTCCTGTGCCAGTTCTCTGAAAGTCCCAGCTTTAGGGGATAGTCTTGATCTATATAGACAAATTATAAGGTTTGGTCTTATATGGGAATGCGAATGTTTCCAAGTTGAATATTTAAAATATACCTACGTTCCATATACATACCATATAAAATAATCCAGATTTTTTTTTAATTGTGTTTAAAGCATTTCATTATTTACATTACCATATATGTCTCTCTTATGACATAAAAATTTGCAATATGCATGTTTTGTAATGCTTCAGTAAAAAAAAGAATGTTATGTAAGAAATGATGCAGATTTTGAATCAGTCCACTAGACATGAAAGAAGAGACATACACAATCTACTTAGTCATGCATTTAGGACAAACTGAATCAGACAGCAAGCTGTAGACTGAGTCCCTCATGGATGATTCAAACGCAGGTAAAGTAATGATTCATGTTTCGGTAGCCCTGGGGAGTACAGTAAAAGACTCACAGTCAGGCGCCACTGTAAGGAAAAAAAATCATAAACTACCTGTGGGAAAAGTATGTTAAGAGGTTCCTGGAATTGCTTTCAATTTTATATGAGGATATTGCTACTTGTTATAGGCAACTATGAGTAAGATATTACTACTCAACAGGAACAACATTTTTTGTGTTTGATAAATAATAAGGATGCTCTGCATACTGTTTGGAGGAACACATCGAATACAGTATCATATATAGTTCTGCTTTGATTGTAAGGTTCAGTCTGCTATAAGTACTAAAAACTGTCAGATATTTACTACAGTCGAAATACAGGATAAACCTAAGGGACATGTTTATAGGTGCAGGGATGAATAAATAAGCCTCCATGTTTTGCCTCTACACGGCCACTGGTGGAATACTATAGCAAGCCACAATCACATTATCTCCCAATTCACCCCATGTGATGGGAAATAAATGATAATAAAAAAAAGCTTTCTCAGAGATTCCCAAATTCTCCACCACCGTTTGTACTGCTGAACCTTCTAAAAAAGTTTACAAAATTATGTCAATCTAAGTAACATTTAAATTCTCCAAATACAAGTGAAATAACTGTTGTCAATGTAGCTACATGTAGTAATTCAATAAAATGTGTTAATAAGTTAAATCTGAAAGTTTTTCATCAATAACAGTTATTCAAAATAACTGTAGTAATTGTGACAAACTTACATGCTCCGCACACCCACGCTGCTGCCGTCCTCGGGCCCCGCAAGCCTACAGCTCCATGTGGTTGCACTTCTCCTCTCATGTCGCGAGGATGGCACAATCCACATGGCTGCATGATCTGAAATGGGAGATAGAAAATGCTGTTATACTTACCAATTCAGTGCCAGCGAACAACTCCTCCTCCTGGTTCACGCTGGCTGAATTCAGTAGACAACAGCTACTTCTCTGAGTTTGTTGGATGCTGCCCGCTTGAATGGCATCCTTATGTTATTTAAATTATTTAAAATCATGTGATGTCACCTATGCTCTGAACACATCATCTAGGCGACCTCATATTATACTTTTTGGAGTTGCAGACATGACATGGACCATTCAGAATATTGCAGTGGCTTTGGTGCAAACAATCTGTGAGCACAGTCACTTTTGTATAACCTTTTGGTTATCTTGAATAGACACAGGTTCCTTGGCACCCCTATGTCAGTTTGACAGCGTTGAGAGGGTTAACAGTAATTAGGCAGAGCCAACTCTGAATTAATAATGCAGATATATTAAATACATGTGAAGGACCCTGAAACTTCCTTACATTATTTCCAGAGCTGAGGGATGGTCTTTGGGGCAGGAGAATCCTTTGCACTTTTGTCAAACTTTATTTATTTATTTTTTACAAAGTTTGGAGAGAATGTACTCATATTGTCCTGGTAACATAACCACTGGACCAGGTGCTTGGCGTATTCATTTAAATTCTAGTATTCTATGTTTATTCTTGGGTTGGCAAAATAACATCTACATTGTTGTTGTTTTTTTTGTATATGAGATTATCACAATTTGTGTTGAAATAGTCATCACATACATTGGTTTTATAATATGTGCAATGATTCTCTAGTTTCTATTTATTTAATCAGTACAATGACCACAGTGGCAAAACAATACCGGTGATATATCTGTAAAACAAGCTATGGTTTTAATTTGGAATCTAATAGAAAAATATACCTTTGAAGCCTTTTTTACATGGATTGTTTTTATTTGACTAAGCCTTGACAAATCTCAGATGGTTATATGGAAAATTAATCTAAAGTTAAAAGAAACATAATATGTCTTAACAATAAACATCTCATTTAAGTCCTTTTGAAATTATATCTCTATGAACTTAAACCCCAATGTTTTTTACCTCTTGCCTTTTTTCTTTGGTTGATTTCCAAAGATATAAGAAGAGCAGGGAGGCTAAAATAATAGGGATTTATAGTACAAAATTATTGCATTGGCAGTCAAAAGAGTAGCATCATCTTAGAGATAGCAGCACGGGACATCAGAAGATAGGGACATATTTGTCAATGTGTAAAAGTGAAGGTTAAAATTTCAAAATAAAAAACAATACTCGATATAACAGAGTGTACACCAACAGGGGCCATATAGTGGTAAGATAATAAAAGTGGTTATTACCCTTAAAATGCACTACAGATTCATAGGGGGAGACACACATTTTCTCCTGGACAGTAACCTAGATACCACATCAGACACCACAGTGACACACACCACTGCTAAGAAATGATCTGCCGCTACACACCGGATTAGGGGCCGCGTACACGAAGCAGGCCTGTTAGATATATGGAGAGTGCTGCACCCTTCAGAAAAAGACTTCACTTTCCACTCCCAGGCGCATAATTCCTATTCCAGAATTGATAGATTCCTGATCCCTCGCTCTTTAACTCAGATAGTACAGAAAACGAACATCGGACAGATAACTTGGTCAGACCATGCACCTATCACCTTCACAATTACTGAGAAATTCCCAAACAGGGGCCAAGGCTCCTGGAGACTTAACGAGTCCCTATTAAAAGACCCACAAATTATTCAACACATTAGAGACGACATTAAATCGTACTTTGACATAAACTGCTCAGGAGACACAGCTGCAGACACGATATGGCAAGCCCATAAGGCGGTCATCAGAGGTTCCTTAATCAAACATGGCAGTTATGCCAAAAAGGTGAGGACGGCTAACTATGATAATCTTCTCCAACAAATCATGGCCATCACACACGCCAATAAACAAAACCCCACACAGGCTCAATATGACAAACTTCGTACACTACAAACCCAGCTCAACGAAGTGGAACTAAACAAAACCAATCACATCCTACAAAGGTATAGACACAAATTTTTTGCACAAGGCAACAAATCAGGGAAAATCCTCGCCTCTAAACTTAAAACACGTACTATCCACTCATGAGTGGAATATCTTATCTCCTCAGATAAGCACAAACTAATGAATCCTCAGGATATCGTAGAAGAATTCGCAAAATATTACAGCTCCCTCTATAATTTAGAGACACAAGAGACTACTCACGTCCCTTCGGGAACTCAAATACAACGCTTTCTAGCGGACGTTGACTTACCTAAACTTACAGAAGCAGAAATCGAAACCCTTACTCGCCCCATCACTAGCACAGAAATACTGCACACTATAAATAAACTGCCCATTCACAAAGCCCCAGGCCCGGACGGATTTACCAATGCATACTATCAGACTTTCTCAGACCTCCTGATACCCCATCTAACAAACCTTCTAAATCACTACTTTAACAAAGGGTCTATGCCTCCGGAGATGTTACTGGCACATATTTCCACGCTACCCAAACCCGGCAAACCGACTAATTTATGTCAAAACTTCCGCCCAATCTCTCTCCTCAATAGCGATGCAAAAATCTACGCTAAAGCGCTAGCTGAACGATTGAAAGACATTCTCACCCGAATAACACATAACGATCAATCGGGATTCGTTAGAAACAGGCAGGGGTCAGATAACACCAGGAAAATCCTTAACATACTGGCCCATATGGAAGCCAATAAAACCGAAGGTCTTCTACTGGCGCTGGACGCTGAAAAGGCCTTCGATAGATTAAATTGGAAGTACATGGAACAGGTACTCCAAAAATTTGGCTTCCCCGCGTTGTTCATTACAGGCGTACTAGCCTTATACTCCAACCCCGCAGCCAGGGTCTCCAGTGGTGGCTTCATATCAATCCCCTTTAGGGTAACAAACGGAACACGTCAGGGATGTCCGCTGTCCCCCCTGTTGTTTGTACTATCCCTCGAACCGTTAGCACACATAATCCGCAAGGACGTGAACATCAGGAGCGTACAGCTAAACAGTGAGGTATACAAACTGGCCATGTTTGCGGATGATGTCCTAATATCCCTGACTCAACCTACACAATCTCTACCACATCTCATGCATACTTTACATAACTTTGGACAAATATCGTATTACAAACTGAATCAAACCAAGACACAAGCACTTCCAATACGACTGCCAACCGCAATCTCGGCGGCATTGCAACACCAATTCCCCTTCGACTGGAGACACTCTCACATCACATACCTAGGAGTAAAAATTGCTCACACTCCTAGGAGAACAGCCATGCACAACATAGCTACACTCCCCCAAATGTGCAAGCAACTTCTACACAAGTGGAAGGACGTACAGATCACATGGCTAGGCAAGATAAACACTGTCAAAATGATGATATTGCCAAAATTGCTATATGTTTTTAGAATGTTGCCACTACCACTCTCACCCTCGATAAGCACCCAAATCCAGAAACTGTTATCGAGCTTTGTGTGGGAAAATAAAAAGCCCCGCATTCCGCTATCCTTATTACAAACCACAGTGAGTTTAGGAGGGCTGGGCTTTCCCAATGTCTTACAGTACCATAAGGCCGCAGTACTAGAAACTGCTATTAAATTGCATGCCCCCAAAAATACATTGCAATGGGTAGATATGGAGAATGAATATAATGCAAGAAGCTTAGCTACACTCTATATGTGGATGCCTAGAAACCTACGGGACAAATCCCAAGATTTCTTACCCCTAACTAAGTTCACCATTCAAGTATGGGACCAATTCCACAGGTCACAAACAGCTAGCAATAAATTTCTAAAGTGGGCACCCATAGGGGCGCTACATTCTATCTCTCCATGGCTATCGTTCGCGAAATGGTCAGAAAAGGGAATCACCCATATCGACACTCTGTGTTCACAAGGGGAAGTGATTCCGTTCCCAGAATTACAAGTAGCACACGACCTCCCACCATCCTTCATCTTTCCATACATGCAACTTAAGAGCATAATCAAAGAGAGGGTTCTGCTCGCACCACAACTGGCAGATCACTCTAGTAAAGAGAGATTGGCGCTGTATGATAGATGCCGTAAGGCCCCAGTCAAGGCCCGCTCACTTTCTCTCAGTTATGCAGCCCTAAGACACAATTCCATGATGCCTGAATTCTCCTTTATAGCACAGTGGAATAGGGAACAAACCACACGCTTTACTAAAGATCAGTGGTTGAGATCAATATTAGCGCTAAAAGGTATTACATCCTGCTATTCACATGTACTCAGGGGTAAGATCACACCTGAGATAGGTCTGTTTCTTCTACTACCTACAATCACCCCATTCCAGGACAAACAACTAATAATTCTGGTAATCATGGCAGCGCGTAACCTTCTAGCATATTATTGGAAGCGGAAAGACAGTCCGTCCTCACAGACACTACATAGTAAAATCCGGCAATACCTTAGACATGAGCAATTATCCACAACTACGACTAAACATGGGAAGGCCACACAAAATAACTGGCAGAAGTGGATAGCCTATGACCCAATGTTAGTACCATAACTAATATCATAACCTAGAGTTTGCATCTCGCACATACGCTGGTAATTCCCACAGAAAGAGGAAGCGGTATAGCAAAACCCATAATACTAAGGGGCAGCACAACTGGGTAAGACCGAAATGCCCAAACTTAGGCGGAAGTAGCCCCACGAGCTAATAAACAGCTATACTCTCTAACCAAAGCCGTTCCTCGATAGCCCACTTACATGTGCCCCTGTACCGTCAGGATAGGAAGGTATTATATTGCATTTGACTTGTATTGTATTATATGTGACTGGTATTATATTATGTTTGATGTGTAAATAACCTACCATTAATTACAAGATCAAGCCATGCCAGTTTGGAATTATGCTGTCTCTGTAAATTGAAATGCACCATTGTATAAGTATGTTTACGGTGTGTACCTGTTCCTTACCTTTTCCCCAACCACCCCTCTTCCTTTCTGTACCCCAACTTGTCTGAAAAACTCAATAAAAGTACAAATTGAAAAAAAAAATGCACTACAGATTGTAAGAAGACCCCTCTTGTCTTCTGAATAAATACATAAATATACAAACGAAAATAGAAAAACGAGAACACAATAGTATAATATTATAGGCTCCAAGTAGCAATAGGGAATACAGGGAGTGCAGAATTATTAGGCAAGTTGTATTTTTGAGGATTAATTTTATTATTGAACAACAACCATGTTCTCAATGAACCCAAAAAACTCATTAATATCAAAGCTGAATATTTTTGGAAGTAGTTTTTAGTTTGTTTTTAGTTATAGCTATGTTAGGGGGATATCTGTGTGTGCAGGTGACTATTACTGTGCATAATTATTAGGCAACTTAACAAAAAACAAATATATACCCATTTCAATTATTTATTATTACCAGTGAAACCAATATAACATCTCAACATTCACAAATATACATTTCTGACATTCAAAAACAAAACAAAAACAAATCAGTGACCAATATAGCCACCTTTCTTTGCAAGGACACTCAAAAGCCTGCCATCCATGGATTCTGTCAGTGTTTTGATCTGTTCACCATCAACATTGCGTGCAGCAGCAACCACAGCCTCCCAGACACTGTTCAGAGAGGTGTACTGTTTTCCCTCCTTGTAAATCTCACATTTGATGATGGACCACAGGTTCTCAATGGGGTTCAGATCAGGTGAACAAGGAGGCCATGTCATTAGATTTTCTTCTTTTATACCCTTTCTTGCCAGCCACGCTGTGGAGTACTTGGACGCGTGTGATGGAGCATTGTCCTGCATGAAAATCATGTTTTTCTTGAAGGATGCAGACTTCTTCCTGTACCACTGCTTGAAGAAGGTGTCTTCCAGGAACTGGCAGTAGGACTGGGAGTTGAGCTTGACTCCATCCTCAACCCGAAAAGGCCCCACAAGCTCATCTTTGATGATACCAGCCCAAACCAGTACTCCACCTCCACCTTGCTGGCGCCTGAGTCGGACTGGAGCTCTCTGCCCTTTACCAATCCAGCCACGGGCCCATCCATCTGGCCCATCAAGACTCACTCTCATTTCATCAGTCCATAAAACCTTAGAAAAATCAGTCTTGAGATATTTCTTGGCCCAGTCTTGACGTTTCAGCTTGTGTGTCTTGTTCAGTGGTGGTCATCTTTCAGCCTTTCTTACCTTGGCCATGTCTCTGAGTATTGCACACCTTGTGCTTTTGGGCACTCCAGTGATGTTGCAGCTCTGAAATATGGCCAAACTGGTGGCAAGTGGCATCGTGGCAGCTGCACGCTTGACTTTTCTCAGTTCATGGGCAGTTATTTTGCGCCTTGGTTTTTCCACACGCTTCTTGCGACCCTGTTGACTATTTTGAATGAAACGCTTGATTGTTCGATGATCACGCTTCAGAAGCTTTGCAATTTTAAGAGTGCTGCATCCCTCTGCAAGATATCTCACTATTTTTGACTTTTCTGAGCCTGTCAAGTCCTTCTTTGACCCATTTTGCCAAAGGAAAGGAAGTTGCCTAATAATTATGCACACCTGATATAGGGTGTTGATGTCATTAGACCACACCCCTTCTCATTACAGAGATGCACATCACCTAATATGCTTAATTGGTAGTAGACTTTCGAGCCTATACAGCTTGGAGTAAGACAACATGCATAAAGAGGATGATGTGGTCAAAATACTAATTTGCCTAATAATTCTGCACTCCCTGTATATTGCACTCATAAAAAATAAACTGATTGCAGGCTCATCACAGTATCTTTAAGGATAAAAGCCTTCTATTCTTCTCACTTCCCACGTTAATACATGTAATGGAAGGAAACATTTTTTTTTGTGTAACACTAAAGTAGTAAAAAAAATATCTAACTTGCAATACAAGAGTTCAGCACTATGTAGGTCTCCTGGCCCTACGTGATTCGTCTGATGCAGGACTTCCTCAGGGGGATCCAAATGTGTGTATGGGAGTCCTCTCCTCTGTTCAACTTAAAAAGCCCCCTTCGCGCTGTCCCGACATGCCTTCAGCCATTCGAGAGTGGCACCTGGTTAACCCCTTCAGGACCGGCCTGTTTTGGCCATGTTGTAGGTTAAGGACCAGGGCTCTTTTAACACTTTTGTGGTGTTTGTGTTTAGCTGTAATTTTCCTCTCTCTAATTTACTGTTCCCATACAAGTTATATATTGTTTTTTTCAGCACAAAAAGGGCTTTCTTTACATACCATTATTTGTATCATGTCATATAATTTACTTTAAAAAAGATAATAAAATATGGTGAAAAATTTAAAACAACATTTTTTTTAACTTTTGCTTGAAAAACCTTTTACTTACCTACGAAAGCTAATGAAACAAACTGCTAAATAGATTCAAAATGTTATCCTGAGTTTAAAAACACCCAGTATTTACATGCTTTTTTGCTTATTTTTTTGTGTGCAAGTTATAGGGCTATAAGTACAAATAGGAAATTGCTGTTTCAAATATATATATATATATATATATATATATATATATATATATATATATATATATATATATATATTTTAAATGTATCAATAGTGACATTGTAACACTATCATCTGTCATAAATCTCTGAATCACACCCCACATATTTTTTAAAGTAGACAACCCAGGGTATTCAATGTGGGGTATGTCTAGTCTTTTTTAGTAGCCACTTAGGCACAAACACTGGCCAAAGTTAGTGTTCATATTTGTTTGTGTGTGAAAAAAGTAAAAAACTAAATTGAACGATAATGTTGGCCAGTGTTTTTGACTAAGTGGCTATTAAAAAAGACTGGACATACCCCATTTGCAATACCTTAGGTTGTCTTCTTTTGCAAATGGTATACCATCATAGAGATAATTCTCATTCCTGGGCTACTTGACACTCTCAAAGGCAAGGTAGCCAACCTGTCAATTTTCAATGTAAAAGTGCTGTTTGTGTGTGGAAAACGCAAAAAAGTCACTTTCACTGGCAATATCATTGCTGTGATATGTTTTACTGTTTTGAATCACTAATATTTGTGTTCAGCGAAGTCTCCAAGTAAAACAGTACCCCCATGTTCAGGATTTAGGGTATCATAGAAAGTTACAGGGTAAAATACAGTGCTAGCAAATTAAATTCTCTGGACTTTTGGCCTGGGTTGTCAGGCAGGTCCCTCAAATTGCAATCAATAAAATTACTTAATTATGTAAAAATATTACATAAATACGAACATAGAATTTAAATATATATGCATATTTATATATTTGAAGTCTATGTGTATATTTATATAATTATTTATGTAATTTTGTATATGGACATATGTATACTTCGTATTATTTTTATTTATTTATATATACATAAATGTATTTATAATTAAATTATAAGTGTATTTTGATATAAATGTATATATATTAATATTAAAATACAATTAGAATAAAATTTCATATATATAATTTTTTGTTTTTCATTTTTAAATTATTTTTAAGTTTTTTTAATTTATTTTACTTTACTTATTATTTGTATTTTATAACAATATATATACAATATATATTGTTATTATATATTATATATATATGTGTGTAATTTAATTATAAGTGTATTTTTATATTACTATATGTATATATTAATATAAAAATACACTTAATATGACATTATATATATATATACATATATCTATATATATACACACATATAATTATATTTTTTTATTAACATTAACATTTATTTATTTATTTTGATTTTACACTTGCAGGGAGACTGCCTGTCAGCACAGACAGTCCCCCTGCAGGCAGACTCTTGGACACCTATTGTGACTATGTGACGGCTCTGTTGAGCGATCACATGGCCCTTGGGGTCCTAATTCATCGCAGGGAGACTGCCTGGGCTGCAGGCAGTCTCCCCACACCGGGAGCAATGCCGATCACCGCCGGGGGAACGACAGCGATCAAGTAAGTACATCTTATCATTATGACGGTTCAGGACCGTCAGCGGTCCTCAGCGGTAAAATACTGATGACGGTCCTGAACCGTCCGCAGTCGCGAAAGGGTTAAATTCTGTCATTATTTTGATCACATTTATTAAACTGTCTAAAATGTGTCTGCTTCTATCACAGTACATTCTGTCAGTTTTCTAAAATATGCATTTTAGAAGACTATCAAATTTAGAGTGGTGTAAAAAAAGGGTTGTGAAACAGAAATTCTTTCTGTCACAAGTAAATGGTAGAAATATTAATAAAACCATTGTGGTTAAAAAAAACATTATGCATATTGATAAATCATGGTTGGGGTGTAAAAGAAGCAAAAAAATATAAACCTCACAGATTTAATTCTATTATAATTCAATATTCAGGCACTGAGGTGTAACATATGGAGCTTATGGCTAACAAAAGAAAATTGTAAAAAATCAAATCTGGGAAAACAGAAGTCAGTACAAATATGTGTCCATTGGATAATTAAAAAGTTTGAAGTCCAGGAGTAAAAGCAGTAACAATACCCCAAATTCCACATTTTGAAAAAGCATAATCTTATCTGTAATTAAATCACAATAAATAGTGCAAA